GCCAGACACACTGCAATTAAGTCGGCAGTTTTATTAAGCAGTAGCTGGAGCACCGCAAAACCAGTCACGTGTTATAGTTCTGGTGCCTGGCCTCGGGGACGTGTTCGGCTCGGACATCTATGAGCACGTTTGTCTGGGGTCTGTTTCCAAAACAGTTGCACCTTGTTGGACTAGTTAAGTTCAGTGGCTGCAGGAGCTGATCAGCCCAGATGGAGGAGCTTCCTCTCACTGCTCTCCTGATTCTTTACAGTGTCGCATAGATAAGAAGGCTCAGCTGTTTATTAAACACAGCAACGAAAACCGGCACATCCAAACACGTTAACCTCTCCTGTTATAGTTAAGAGACTCGAAAACACGCGTGCATGTTGATGCCCTCTGCTGTGAGCCGTCTGACAGCTCCTCACTGTGGTGTTACACTGTATCAGCATTATGAATAATACGCTTTAATGACGGGTTTGAATTGAATTATATGGAGAAAGCATAAAGTCTTAAAAACTGCTGTAAATGTTCTGCGTGCTCACAATAACAGAGCCTTGAGCTGACTGTACGGTGATGAAATTTACGTCACTGGACCCGTGGGGGGATCCTGCAGACTTGTTGATGCTGCTTTAGGAGCATGTGGTGCTTTTCCTGCTGGCTGGAGGAAGGACAGAGTCACTGGAACAGTGTTTTCTTTGCAGACCTACAGTGATGTACTTTTCGTGGACTTGACTCACTGCGTGTCAGGCACCTGATATGATGTGCTTTGTCCTTTTCCACAGAGATGTTATGAACACAAGCAGTACAGAAATGGTCTGAAGTTCTGCAAACAGATCCTGAGTAACCCCAAGTTTTCTGAGCATGGAGGTAAGAACCTGATGCACCATGCTCACTGTCAGCCTGCAGTAGTGACGTGATATTTAATGATATTAACACAATGTGACACAGTGATGATTGTGGACATTTGTTCTGTCCGTGGTTGCACTTGAAAACACAGTCGCCCTCCTGTACAGTGGAATAAGCACCAGAATCCCAGTGTGAATTCACCCAGGAACACTGGGATTAAACAGCTGTATGTGACAGATGTTGTACTTTACACTGTGGGAAAAATAGGTTTGGCCTGGCTGCCTGCAGGATTTTGATTTCTAAACTCTACATTCAGTATTGTAATGTTTAAATCCAAAAATAAAAATGTTGCCAGTAAAACTTTGACCTGTTATCTCGGACACTGAATTAGTAATTATTAATTCTTAATATCTGCACCATCATAACGTTTTCAGCAGCACAGACACTTTGCGTCAAAGCACAGGCCAAAGTTCAGACTGCTTGCTTTTCTTTATTGCTGCTGCCACACATGCTGAGGCTTACAAACTCACACATTTACACAGGCAGACACACAAATTCACAAAAACACATACACATGGACACACACTAACTCCAGGTCGTCCAGTAGACCCAACGCTATCAGATCCTGTGATGTCAGAAGACAGACGGCGGTTTATTCATGCTCACATTAAGATTCTTTTATTTGACTTTGACCTTTGATTCTGCTTCACATTTTTTCTCGGACCTTTTAAAATGTATTTAATGTTGCAATTAAGAAAATTATTTCTTCGAAATGTAAAATTTTAAAATGCACATAAATACATTTGGAAAGGTCTTTTTTGACAGATGTTTGCAGCTGGATACAGTTTCTATAATAGACCCCAGTGAGCAGTTCACTCTGAAAGACCTGCGTTTTTTTTTGCTCTTTTGAATATTTATTATTGCTCGTTAATAAGAGAGAATTTTTTTATCTGATTACTCGATTAATTAATGGAATTATTGATGGAATACTTGCTTAATAAAATAATTGATAGCTGAACTCCTGATAGTTGAATCTATGAATAAAGAAATTAGTGGTGGCTCAAACCTTTTGCACTCTGTGTAAATGTTTTCCAAAAGAACGTCATGCTCGGAATAATTGCTGCCTGTGGTGGAGCCACATTTTCAGAATCTTGATATTGAAAACTGTTCAATTCAATATTAGTTCTGTTGCCGACAACAACAACAGAACCGTAACTGAGCAAAAACTGGGAATAAGATGCTGGCATGTCATACGTGTCTGTTCTGCTGATATCTCTACGATGAAGCAAACTTCACCTCACCGAGTTTCAAATTGATACCATCGGTGTATTTACTAATAATCCTGGACGAGTTTGGTCAAGGTCAGAGGTCAAGGTGTCTGAAAATCTTGTGAAGAACTTGAGAACAAGGTGATTAATGCCATAGGGGCACCTACCAGGAGGCTGACGAGTTCTGCTCTCCACCACTAATATTCAATTCAATTCAATT